CAGAATGTAAAATCTTATTATTGAGTAAAATAGCTCTTTGATCTTTGTAAGACAAGAAGCTTAATTCTAATGACTTTACTTACATCCTACTTTAAGCAAACCATTCATTAAATGATTACTAGCATTACTTTTAAAACTAGAAAAAAAATAACTAATAGCCACATTTGCAATGATAGAGGTTTTCAATACAAATACAGCATTCTTACCTGTTGTAAAATGAGCACTGCATAAGTGGACTTTGTGGACTGGTGGCAATATTTGCTAATTCTGTTAGCCAATCCACCTCATTTTCACGATAAGTACTTTCTGATATGTCTGAGGTATTTTGGTTCCAAGATGGTCTTGGATATTCTTGATGTGAAACATCTGAATTTAGCTGGTATATGGCAGATTGGGTAGGATCACTTTGAACAGCCTGAAGTTCAGGAAGGTCATCTGCAAACACACACTCAAAATTATAAAAAGGAAATTACTAATACTGGGTAATACTATAGTTACAGTTGGAAGAGAAGTCCTCAATTTAACTTATTAATTCTGTAAGGGAAAGTATAAGTTCAAAATGTGTGGGCTTTTTTTTTTTTTTTTTAAATAAAAGAAGTTTCTATTTTTTAAAATGACACCAAATACATTAAGGGTCAATAGAGCTTAATAGAAAAGTGACTCCAATAAATGTCAATGTACTAATAACTTCACTACCTAAACCATGTAATTACAACTGTTCATAGACTTGAAAAATAAGGTTTATGCGGAAATCCTGATTTCCCCCCTCAAATTTTTATACTTCACTGAGGAGTAATCTATATTCTACTGAGACATTTTTATATGAACACATTGAGGAAAAAGGCACTTTATGTGTGTGTGTGTGTGTGTGTGTATATATGTGTGTACTTACTGTTCACATATTTTTATTAACCTGTTATACAAGATTATTGCAATAGTGAAAATAATTTTAAAGACAAAAATCATATAAAATTTAGGTACTACCTACTTATTTTTATATAGACCAAATTATTATTTTTCTTACTGAGAAATTCTGAACTCAGTAATATTTATTGGTTATTTTTCCTGTAACTGTGTTCCCCAAAGGTATTTCATGATATTTTCACTCCCTAAGAAAGAAGACTAGAAATACTACCTAAGTAATATTCATGTACACACCAAGGCTATGAGCATTATAAGAAATTCTAAAAAATGTAATTCTATATTATTCAGTAAAAAATGTATTATATGGAGAAAAAGCACCGTGCAGGCCTTAAAAAGTCTCCATTAAATACACACCTACACACTACATAGATCTATTGGTTCCCTTCAATATATGTCATGAAACTCTTCTAGTTTTGGAAGTTTTCCTAAACTGTCACTATAAATGTTTCTATACATAGCTCCTATCAAGGCAAGTACCCAGATAGTCTACTAAAATGGAAATAACTTATTTAGAAGCAGCCAAAATATCATATCAATGTGAGATAACCCCACCCTATAATTCTCATTCTGGTATAGCCACTTCCCTTCCCTCATTGCCAACATCCTTCTTTGACCATCACTTCTTATTATATAAGAGTTAATTTCTGTCCTGTTCAATGTTCTCAGTGGTTAGAGCATCAGTCCACACACTGAAGTGTTGCAGGTATTATTCCTGGTCGGGGCAAATGCCCAGGTTGCAGGCTCGATCCCCAGTAAGGGGTATGCAAGAGACAGCAGATTGATGTTTCCTTTCATATCGATTTTTCTGTCTCTCCCTCTCCCTTTCTCTCTCTCTAAAAATAAATTTTAAATCTTTAAATAATAAATAAAACGTGATAGTGGAGAATTCAATTACCTGATTATAATAGTCTTCGCTCAACAGTAGCCACTACTAAAATAATATTAGCCAAGTTCTTGGTATCTAAACTGGTCATGTCCCAAGACCTCCAGAATCTTGAAATTCTCACACAGCATTCCAGCATATAATCTCCCCTACTTCATCTTTTGTAAAATGAGAATAATCACATCTTCTTGAGGTTTTTGTGAATATTAAGGAAAACTACATATTAAATGGGGACAAAGCCAAGCTGAAAAGCTGGGCAGCAAGCCAAAATTACTCATTAGCTGTTTACTCTTCAACACTTCAAAACAATATAATTCAAAATCATTCCTCAACAAACCTACACATTTCTACAGGTCACATACCTTTCAATAGCTCAGCATACTGATAACCACAAATGTCAGACCCACAAGCTTCTCGGATCCTCTGTAATGTCCCTGTCATACTAACAATCCGGCCTTGAAGAGTGGCCAAGCTAAATTTACTGAACTCACGGGGATGTTTTAAAATACCTTTTGAAAAGCCACAGAGCAGCGTTTTCCTAAGATGTCTAATAGTCCAATCTTTATCCACATAGCAAGACAGGGTATAGTAATTTGTAAATTAGTCTCTATAATACCCATAAATAGCTCAAATTTATGTTCATGTTAAGTAATATTTTAAGCAATATTACTTAAAAATGACTCAGGAGTGACTTAGGTAGGTCACTCTTTCAGTAACAAGAAAACATTGAAAACTAATGTACAAAATTTCACATACTTTTTATCAGTTCCAGGTAGGTTAAAACATGAAAATTTATCTAAATTTCAGTGATATCCCTAAAAACTTTTTAATTTTGTTTACCAAGCTCCATGTGCTCATCACAGGAGTTATAGCCGGGTGAGGATGGCAAGTTTTCTTTACACTGCAGCAACTCCAATGAGTCATTCATTCCTGAAGCTCTCTTATCCATTACCAACAGGAGTTTCTGTACTGCATTAGGCATCTGATTTGTCTTCACTTCCCACACCATGTTATGGTGCTCCGACTTCAAAATAAAAATAATGCAAGGAAAAAGTGTCAAATCATGTGATATGGAAATTACATAAATAGAAAATCAGAGACATCACATGCTGTATCTTTAATCTATACTTTGCTATTTGTATTACTATCAAATCCTTTAGACCAACATGACTCCATGACATCTTGCCAGACATTCATATAGCACTAAATTATAGCCAAATCCCCAAGTATTAATAATGTATTAAATGTATAAAAGTCCTTTCTTCCAAAGAATAAAAGCAGTTTTTATATCAAGTATCTCTTTCAGACACCAATATTGAGACCAACAAAATCTTTATAAACTTGTATCTTCAAATGTAAAATAAAATTAACACACTTTCCCTAAATTCAAAAAGACTAAAAGAACTTTTAAAGATTTTATTTTAATTTCTATATTTACCATATTCATTATTTTTTCTCATCTTCTAAAAGTAAACAAGTTTAACATAAAATTATATTGTAAAGAGCATTTAAGGTGTGTTTCTTAAAATGGCCATATATTGTCTCATAAAAAATGTTCTTGCCCTTGGACTGAAGGGTCCCCAAGTTCTATTCTGGCCAAGGGCATGTATGGGAGAGGCAACCAATCGATCTCTCTCTCTCACATCAATATTTCTCTCTCTCTCCCCCTCCTTTCCACTCTCTTTAAAAATGAATGAAAAAAAATAAATAAAATAAAAATGAATGAAAAAATATCCTTGGTGAGGATTAAACAAACAAGTTCTTATGTCTTCTTAATGTGAATTTGGGACCTAGCCATAATAAAAGATACCTGTCCTGAATAAGTTGTTATTTCTAAAAAGAAAATGAATGCTAATCATGTCAAATTTAGGTAAATTCATAGTAAATCTACCTTTATCTCAAGGCCACAAAGTTATTACAAGGAGGAAAATAATATAAGATTACACATCTAAATAATTTCTCAAGGAAGTCCACCAATTAAATTTTATGAAAGTAACCTTTGGACATGATCAAATTAGTTATTTAAGATGAGTGACAGGAGCAAGAAGATTTCCTGATTTCTCAGGCTCTACTCCAAATCATTTCTTTAAAAAAGTTCTAAGCTGCCGAAACCGGTTTGGCTCAATGGATAGAGCATTGGCTTGGGAACTGAAGGGACCCGGGTTCGATTCCCGTCAAGGGCATGTACCTTGGTTGCGGGCATATCCCCAGTGGGGGGTGTGCAAGAGGCAGCTGATCAATGACTCTCTCTCATCGATGTTTCTGGCTATCTCTCTCCCTTCCTCTTTGTTCAGAAACAATAAAATATATTTTTTAAAAAAAAAAAGTTCTAAGCTAATACGAAATACAAAAAAAATTTTTTCCCTCAAAATAAATAAAATACCTTGCTGTTCAAAGTCAATAAAAGTACCCTAGGTCAGTTAATCAAAAAATGCAGTGAAAATATGTTAAATGTTTAATATTTAGACCAGAGTTTTCTAAGTCATGACACACCAAAAATCACTGGCAAGATTGACAAATATTTTCTACAAAAACTTTTTCATCATCTTTTAAATTATGAAATGTTTTTCTGACTATATACAAAAATTTAAAAGCATTTTTTTAAGAAGGTAAAGTAATTAGTTCCAATCTCACAAACCAGATTTAGATACTGTTAAAACGTTGGTATATTATCTGACATATCTTTTACACGCAGGGACCCAAGATCAAATATTTTTTCATAGAACTTTTCCTTAACACAAATTCATAAGCATTTTCCTGTGCCATGTACTTTTTTCAAACACCTATCTGTAAAAAATAACATACATCATTCACCATGTACCAAAATTAACATTTCTCCTGTTACTGAACATGTTGTACCCAATTTCTTCACTCTTCTAAATAACGTTGTATTTACTTTTTTTTTTTTTTTTTTTTTTAAGTTTTTGCTTATATCTGCTTATTTCTTTAAATTCCTATACTGGTGGCTGGCAACTAAAAATCTTCCTGAAGTTATTGACATGTATAACCAAACTTCATATTTATTTCTAATATGCTATTTTGGATGCTTTCTGCCTGCATGACTCACAAATGACCCATATCCTGGGCATTGCTTTAGAGCCTTACTCAATATCAACTGCCTGATGTACTACGGAGTAGTGAAAAGGGCACTGGGTTAGGTGTAAGAACACAGGGGTTTTGATTCCAGCTTGAGGTTCTATTCCAGCCTAGGGCACACGCCAGGGTTGTGGGCTCAATCCCCAGTGAGGGGCATGAAGGAGGCAGCAGATCAATGATTCTCTCTCATTACTGGTTTCTCTCTCTCCCCCCCCCTCCCTTTTTCTCTGATAGCAATAAAAATATTTTTAAAAAGGTAATTGGTGGTATCAGTAGATTCCATATGCCTAAGGCCTGAGAGGAACTAATGCCTAAGGCCCTGAGAAGAACTAATCATTCTCTGAGTTCTTCATAGTCAGCCCCACCTTTCATCTTAAACTTGAAATTTTTCTTTTACCTGTATAATGAATTTCAGATGTTGTCCTACACATATACATCTCCTTAGAGCTATCCTTAACTGTATGACACAGTGCTGTTCTTGGAGTCCACAGAAGCAGCTCTGCAGAGCTCCGATTTTCTCATTCTTCCCAGCTAGATTTTCTCCTATCTGCAGGTCCTGAGTGTCCACCATTCACCATGTACATACCCTACATCAATACTACCTCCTTGCAGCTATCATTTCTTCAGCTCCCAAGCTTAGTTATCTACCAATATCCCATCACAATATTCTTTAAAGTTGAAAAAGATTTAATTTCAAAACAGAGCTACCTACAAATAATAAAAGGGACCAAATAGTTGCAGAACTTGAGTTCTGTGTGTTTGCACCTCGTGGTTACTGGCTATCTAAAGTTGATCTTGAATAATGGAGGTTTTGCTACTGTAAACCTCCTGTATAGTAACTGGGAGCCTAGACTTAATCAATTGACTTGAGTTTCACTCTTTTAGGCTTTGTCACCTTAGGTAGGTAGATCACTTAACCTTAGATTTGCAGTACCTCTGCTTATCTCACAGGCCTAGGTGATAATTAAATACATGAATGCAAATGTATGTTTTTGACTCTCATTATTTTTGTCCAACTATTTGGGGGAAGCAAGACCCTTCAAACAGTAAAGGAACATCCAGAGTCCATAATCAAAAATACTCCCTCATATACATTGTACCAATTAGACAATCATTCTGATAAACAAGCTCCTCTTTCAAATTCTTCCTGGGAGAGCTGGTCCTATTGTTCATTCATTCTTTTGCATACTCTTTAGTATTATAGGATTCACACGTCATCTCTTCATTAGATCACTGAATCTCAAAAGGGAATAGTAAAACTCTCTAGCAGCTGTACTTTGAAATGTTATTTTCAGTATTACAAATTTTTACTGGGTGGGATTGGGAAGACCCTACTGTTTTTGTTTAGCAAACTTTCAGAAGTACATATCCACAAAATCTTAGATAAGAGGCAAGGAAAGGAGGACTAGATAATCAAGTCTAGCCCCCTAGCGTGGCTCAGTGGTTGAGTGTTGATCTACAAACCAGGTTATGGTTCAATTCCGGGTCAGGGCATATTCCCAGGTTGCCGGCTTGATCCCCAGTAGAGGGCATGCAGGAGGCAGCCTTCTCATCAAGGATTCTCTCATCATTGATGTTTTTATTTCTTTCCTTCTCCCTTCCTTTTTGAAATCAATTTTTAAAAAGTGAAATAACTCTCAGTAAATAAAAAAGGGAATATATTTTATCAAATGCCTACCTACTCCCTGCAGAGCATTTCCACAGTTTATCTGGTCTAATATAAACTAAATGAGACCATATTCTTTTTTAAAAGAAAAGAGAAAAATGACAAAAGATATAGACCAACACAAGTTGGGCTGCTAGTTTCAAGTGCCTATTCATTCTTACTATGGATTTCACAGAAAGGAGCTCCTATATGCTGTCCCTTAATCCTGAAGAACTCTATACCAAACTCAAATTGTTTGGAGCAAAGGGTGAAGAGAAGGCGATTTGCAATGAATTTGGAGCACTAACATGAGAACTGAGGTCTTTGAAGTAAAGTGCATAATTTCAAGCTAAAATGATCCTCCAACACTGCAGGTGTGGCTCAGTGCCTGGGGTCAGGGTACATGCATAGGTTCCGGGCCTCGATCCCCAGTAGGGTGCATGAAGGAGGCAGCCCATCAATGATCCTCTCATCTTTGGTGCTTCTTTCCCTTCCTCTCTCTGAAATCAATAAAAATATAAATAAAATGAGCCTCCATAACAAACTATATTAAGTGCAACTTTCCACACCAAAAGTAGTTGGGAGGTCTTAATGCAGTTTTTCTAGAATATCTTCCATGAAACTTAAAACAAAAGATTTCAAAGAAATCTTTCTACAACTTGTTTGCCATTGTGCTAAAGAAAAAAAGGGGGGACCACAACCCAACAGTGGGTAAGATATACTACTACAGAATATCACTTACTACCTATATGACTGAAGAATTGAACCTCTATGCCTGTTTTCTTATTTGTAAACTAGAGGCCTGGTGCGCAGATTCATGCATTGGTGTGGGGCATAGCCTGTAGGGACCAGCCAGGGAGAGCGCCGCTCAGTCAAGTGGCTGTACACCCGCCCTCTGAGCAGCTGCTGAATGAGGAAACGAGTCTGAGCTGGTATTTCAGGGTAATGTCTTAGGTAAAGGTGTGTTCTGTGTCCTGGAGGGACCTGGCCAAGAGCACCCCAAAGCCACTTGGTGAATGTCCTTGGCATATGATGCCAGGTCGGTGACACCATTGGGGATGTTCAGGGCAGCCATGCTCCAGGATCCTCAGCCATCAGGACAGCCTCCCTGGGGCGTCCAGTCACATCCCATCTTGGCATCCACCTATGCCAGTTCCGGGTACTCTTTTTAGGAAACAGCAGTCGCCAAACAGTGGTCTGCGAGGTCCAAAAGGTTGGTGACCACTGTTCTAGAACACACCTTTGAAGGCCTGCCATCAGCTGGCAGGTTCAGGCCAGAGTCTGGATCGTCTCAGGTATTTGATAGGTACAGACTCAGCCTCACCCTGGGCCTGCTAGCGGCTCCCGCTCAGTGCAGGAGCAGCACTCCCACTGTGGGAGCACACTGACCACCAGGGGCAGCTCCTGCTTTGAGTTTCTGCCCCCGGTGGTCACTGTTCGTCATAGTGACTGGTTATTCTGGTAGTTCCACCATTCGGTCACTGGGCTTTTATATATATAGTAGATAGATAGGTGGGGCAGGTATTTATCTTCCTATTATAATTATTGTAGGTATAAAGATACTGCATCCCACATGCACTCTTGTACCCTATCGGTCACTGATACTCGGACTGATTCCTTCCCTTTGCTGGACAGCACCAAATGACATCTATACAAATTCTTATGAATTCTGAGCTGATCTGACACGAAATGCTGATATTGGTGAAGATAACAGAAAACCACAATACACCACTATAAGAAGCCATGCACAAACCTATTTAAAAGAGGACTGTCAATTAAAATAATATAAATTTCATATTTGAAACTTGTTTTCCTAAACTTGATTGTTATGAAAGGAATATTACTGATGTGTCAGTTAATAATATCATTTTTCCTGAACTTTGTAATATATAAGGTATCTGTGAGCTTTAAAATTTTAAAATTTATTGTGATTTGTATCTTCATTCTACATAAATATTTACTTTCATACTTAAAATACATGCAAAATACATCTCATTAACATGGTAATATCTTATAATTTATGACAGGAAAAAAACATACTGATACCTTCATTTCAAACAGAAATAAATATACCAGCTTGCAATTCTCCCCTCCAGGAAATCTTCAGTGCCTTGCAGTTTGTTCATTCATTAAGCCCAAGCTATATCTGCCTCCTCTACTGAGCACTTGGACAGTGACAAGAGTCCAAAGAAATGAAAATACAGTGGAGGAGACCATTCCTTAAAGTGAAAGTACCATGTTTGAAGTCTGAGAGGTAGGCAACTGTGAAGCATGTAAGATTATGGCGACGTGTGCAGGGAAATCCCAGTAGAAGGTAACCTTTTAATGTACATAGAAAGGAACAGTCTGAGAAGTGAACAAAGGGGAAGAAGGATGTTGCAGGCAGAAAGAGAAGGTAATGGGCATGGACTAGAAAGTGAAACCAAATTTTCATTCTATAAATAATGTATTAGTTAATAGAATGAACTGCAATATTTTGCTGTAGTGGCTTCCTCAAAAGTATAAATAACCTCAAAACTTGAGTGGATTCAATTCTTTTGAATATAACTCAAATTTCCTGAAAACGTGTCAAATATTGCCAACCCAGCAATAACTGGGTAACAGAAGATCCTAACACTCTTTTTTTTTTTTTTTTAGCATCAACATTTTATGTTTTTAGCCTTGTTTTTATTGTTGGCACTATTACCGTGTCCCCATCCTCCCCTCACTTCGCCCTCCTCCACCCCAAGCCCCAGCACCCCCCTTCCCTCTGGCCATATGCCCTTCGGCTAATCCCTTCACCACTCTTGGTTAGAGAAAACAAAATAGTTAAAAAAAAAAAAAAAGGCAAAGACCAGAAGTTCTAGAAATACATTACAAATGTAAATTACTAATAAAGAAAAGTATGCACAATGTTAAAATTACCCTAATTCTCAAAAGTTAACTTTAATTTCAAAACCAGTTTGGAGTCAACAGCTACAGCTGACTTAGACGGTTATGTCAAGCTAAAGCCCTTGGTTGGCATTATTGGTAGGACTCTAACAATTACTCCTAGTATACACAGTCCCCCTCTGTTTTTTGGGGGTGTTTTTTACCCATCAGTGGCACCCTCAGCTAAAAAAAACTCTTTGGAGTACTGCCCTGCTGTCAGTGCTCCTTTTTAAAAAACGATTCTTCCCGAAAACTTCCCAAGAATGGATTCTAAATACGTATGACAGAATGCCCAGAAGCGAGTGAAATCCCCTCGCCTAGGCAGCCTAGGCAGCCTAGGCAGCGTTCAAACAAGTTACAAAAAACCGCCCCCCCCCCCCCCCCCCGCCGCGGTCGACTCCGCCAGGATTCTTTCTGTTGTTGTTTTAATCGGCCCGGGGCAGCGGCATAGGTTGGAAGGCGGGGACTGCAGCCGCCTGCCAAGTCTCGGCGCCCGGTCACCCAGGAGGCAGCGCCCGCCCGCCCGCCCGCAGGTTCGGTGCACGCCAAGTCCATCCCCCACCGCTTTCGCCATTCATCGCTCCCCTCCCCTCCCCCATCATGTGACCGCGGCCGGGACCAGAGGCTTGTTTTCCCCGCGGCTCGGCGCCACCGCGCAGGCGCCGCGCAGCCCATTCATTCGAACTGCGTAACAATGAGCCCGGGGCCCCCGGCGCCGCCGCGGGCTCCCCAGCTGGGCTCGCGCCCCGCCGCCCCCCCGAAGGAGGCCGCGCCGCTCCGGGGTCCCCCCATTCCCTGGCCGGTCCCCCGCCGCGGGCCGACTTCCGACCCTCCGCCCACACGCGCGGAGTTGAAGTCAAACTTTCCTGAGCAGCCCCTGCGCCGCGTCGGCCGGTGGGTCCCGCGGCCCCCGGTCCGCCGCGTCTCGGTCCGCACCAGGTCGGGCCACCCACGGCGCTCCCGGGCTCGGAGCAAAGTCCTCCCTCCTCCTCCTCCTTCCCGCCCGCGCCCCCGAGACCCCCCGAGCCGCGCCGCTGCCGCCGCGGAGCCCAGGGGAGCTCGCGGGGGACGCGGGTCCCGCGGGGTTTCAACGGGCCGTTCGCTGGGTGGTGAATCGTCTTCCCCCGTG